TTTTTTAGTATGCAGTAGCGGGCCGTGCATTTTAGGCCTTCAGTGGCGTCCTACCTGGATCAAACCACCTCTTATCAGTACGACGTCACGGCTTTAGAAACCATCAGTATTTTACAGAAAGGCAGCAAAGCAGGACGTTGCAGCGCAGACACACATCTCATGTAGCAAGAAACCCAGTTAAAACCAATTCAACAAGTCTCCTTTCAGCCACAGCTGCACCACAGACATCACATCAGAGTTCTCACCACGATATCCATCCATCATCTCTACACCTTAATCCTCACCAGGGTCATGGGGGGCTGGAGTCTGAAAGCAGGTTCACCTGGACGGGTAACCAGTCTATCACAGGGCTACACTTAGAGACAGACAATGGGACAGCCTGGGATAGACTCCAGCCCCCCATGACCCTAGTGAGGATTAAGCGGTGTATAGATAGACCTGCCTCAAACTCGACACGCCGGATCAGAGTTGCGTTTGCCCCAAATCCCGACGTGCACGACCTCTGACAATCGTATACGGCGAAGACCATCGCTGCTTGCAGCTTTATTTATTTTTTAAATATTTTCTAAGTTTTTAATACAAAAATCATCACAGGAAACGTGAGGTCTCTCCCTAATGGATGGACGAGCTAACAGCTAACAGCGCTGACCCGGCTGCAGTGGGAGTATCAGGAGTGCAGCCTCATGTTGTTCACGGTGTCACGGCTGAACCAACTCACTCTGGACTAACTTTGGAGGGATTTCACCTGGTCAGAGCAGCCCGGAGCTGGAGGGAGAGTGGAGTGAGAGTTGGTGTAATGCTAGCACGAAGGGTGTTGACCTGCTGGTTTGCGGCCGTTTTACGGATACAGGTTACATCCCCCCCCCTCAGCTGATGCTGCTGCAGCCTGTGAGCTCATCCATAGTTCAGTGTCCCAGCTGCAAACATCACACCCTCAGTCTCTGGTGGTCATCTCAGGAGACCTTAACCAGATATCGCTCTCTACCGCACATTCAGCCAGACTGCCCAACCGGAGACGGTGGGGCCTTGGACACATATTACTTCATTATTGTGATTTTCTTGTACTTTCTTTCTATATGTTTGGATGCTGCTGTGGCGTGTAAACGTCCCCCAATGGGAGCTCAATAAAGTATTCTATTCTATTCTATTCTAAATAAATTCTCACACGTGTGGCGGCCGTCGCTGGCTGTGCTGAAGCCGTGGGTCCGGCTGCCGTTCACCTCCCTCTGCGCCCAG